TTGAGTCAAAATCTGCCAAGTTCCGAAGGTCCGATTTTCATCGAACTTTTTTACTTTTCCGGTTCACAACGAAAATATAAGAACTTCATTTGAACGGTTTTGCGAAATTTTGAGTTTTACCGGAGTTTTAGGGGTCAAAACATGGCATTTTTGACACTTTTTCGAAAAAGTTGCACTCAGTCATTAATTCATAACTTCGGAACGGTATAAGATATCTTTATGATGTTTTCACTAATCGCTCAAGAATTATTATGGCTTTCCATAAAAAAATGTAAAAAATAATTAAATTTTTTTTTCCTTAAAAATAAATCAACATTTTTTTTAGTTTTTATTTTTTCCAGTGCTCTTCACCAGCTATAGAGTTTAAAACCATTTGAAAATGAAGTTTGATTCATTACGAAAAAGATCCAAAAAAAAAGAGTGGCCCGGCCAAAGGTTTTTCGCAATATCGACTTAAAGAAGGGCGCACAGCGGTTTTCCATACAAAAACGGCTTGCTCGTGAAAATTGGCTGGTCAACACATGCCGTTGCGCGCGTACCGTCAGCCGACTGCAGCTGTCAATGAGGCACTTTTTGTCGTTTTATATGGGAATCCGCTGTGTTGTTAAGGAAGTATCTTTTGCTATAGCTTCCTTATCAAAAGAATTTATGAATTTTCCGCCTATTGAAGATCTTCAAGAAAATGTTGTTGATTTTTATAAAATTGCCAAGTTTCCGAAAGTCATAGGAGCCATAGATTGCACGTATGTAAGAATTCAATCTCCCGGAGGCGTTTCCGAAGACACCAGTTCTCCAAGAATTGTCTCCTGTTCATCGGTATAATTTTTACCGCGAAACTTTTTTTCTGCCGACATTGCTTGTTTATTATTATTTTTTTGGTTTTAAATCAGCGGTCGGCAGCGCCCTATTAAGTGAGCATAGGGTTTTGTTCTGCCCAGCCGCTGCTCGCTGACGTACACTGTAGAACAAAGGTCTGCACACACACTGTGATGATCTCCCAGTGCAATTTACTCATACAAATATTAAACAAAATGTTATTGTAAGTGTGCCGACCGCTGTTTTAAATCCTCGCGTGGATGATCAAATGGTTGGTCGCAACAACACTGCCGTATAGACCAGGGACTATTGGTTTAAAGGTGCTTGCGCGATACACCCACATCGACTCAGCTGCTATCGATATTAATCGTGCCTGTTTCCGATGTCTTTGAAATCACGGTTATTCTTCTCGAATGTTCTGTGTATATTGTCCGAAGATTTCGACTTAGCGTCGGTGTAGCAAGACCACAGGCAAGGAGCTCCATAATGTGATCGTGATATGTACTCATACGTCACCCTGACTGGCTCAGATTAGAAATCACAGAAGGTGGTTTTATAAAGACTTCCTGGCAGTGAGCTTGACAGGAATGTTTATTGGCCGAAAGCCAAAGAAAAATAGACAATTACACAGTGCAACATGAAAAATGTAACCGCAATTCTGATTTCATGGGCGGAAAGAACTCATCGAAATAAGCTAAAACCCATTTGGGTTTCTCTGGCTTAGCTCGCGTTTACCTTTTATAGCGAGTTAAAGTTTTACATACAAAATTTATTTGTAACGGCCATATCTTTTGAACCGATTAAAATTTCACTACCAAGTCTTCAGTGATTATGTTGCTATGAACCCAAGGAACTAAATTGTCAAATGACTCTTTCGCACTTAGTACCTAGTGCACCTAGCGCGTTAAAAAACAAATTTACCTAATTTTTCGATTTTTAACGCGCTAGGTTTACGTCTTCGCAAGAGCCATTTGTCAATTTAGTTCCATGGCTTCATAGCTACATAATCACTGAAGACTTGATAGTGAAATTTTAATCGGTTCACAAGATATGGCCGTTACAAATAAATTTTGTATGTAAAACTTTAACTCGCTATAATAGGTAAACGCGAGCTAAGCCAGAGAAACCCAAATGGGTTTTAGCTTATTTCGATGAGTTCTTTCCGCCCATGAAATCAAAATTGCGGTTACATTTTATAACCCTAAAAATGTTGCACAGTGTTATAAATGGTGAAATAAAAGGTAGAACTTAAAAGCTTATATTGGCCATATTAATAAATTTTGCAGGCTCCCTTAAATGAAGCGGCTCTTTTTTGATAAGTAATTCATTAAGATTTTTAAATTACTTGAAAATTTGAAATTTAATACGGATGTTGATTAATTTTTGGCAGTTAAAAATCAAATACTCGGCATATTCCGGGACATTACACAGCTCACATAAATTGGTACCGAAAGCTTTTATTTTGTGAAGAAAAACCTTGTCATATGTCGAGTCGACCATAAGTCTATTTAATACTTAAATACTTTTGGCATTCCAATTTAAGAAATGGTGGTTTTTTTGGGAATATTTGGGAAGATCTTTAAAAGATTTGATCCCTTAATCAGGCATTTATTTTTGTATTCTTCATTCCACTTGGATTGCAGGATTTTTTGAATCTCCCTTAAGACATCTTTTATGTTAGGACAACTTTAAATAGTTCATATTTACACAGATTGACAGACGGGTCGACAACTGCTAGTACAACATTTAACCGGCTCTTATTCCTTAAAGCAATGACATTAATCACGTCATTTATGCACGTCGCCGCTGATTTTCCTTTCTGGTATGCATAAGACCTATATGGCAGTAACTTCTTTTCATTTATAAAATTGTTTATAAATAAATTGTTTTGGCGAGACAGGATATAAGAGATATAGGCCTAAAATTGTTGACATCTGATAAATCTTTGTTTCTTTTGAGAATCGGAGAATTTTAATAATTCTCCATATTTGTGGAAAATCACAGCTTTCAACCTTTTGCAATTTTGAGATAGCAGCCTAATGATATGATGCATTTTATCCTCAGTGGATAAACCAGGAAAAAAAGGAACATGTATACGGCTATAAATGAAAGTAAGGTTAGGTAAGAAGAGAACAGCAATACGAACACGGGAGAGGGGAGAGCAGGAATAGTGCTTTCCCTTCCTTACACATTGCGCTGTTGTTGCTTGATGCAAAGTTTCTAAACTAAAATCGTTGTCTTTACTAGTAGGTCTTGCAAATACAACAATTTTATTTTACCACTTCGAGAGGAATTGATGAAGCAACATGAGGATAATTATTTTTTTCGGAAATCGCATGTATTCCGGCGTACAGAATTTTTTAATTAAAAATTCCCTTAAAAATACCTAATTTAAAAATAAAAAAAAATTTAAAAATATGTTTCTGAAAGATATTAAGATGCCCCATAAAGTTGCATACTAAATATTTAAATATCTTAAACGAGTCTCAAGTGCTGCTTAGCTTAAAAATCGGACCTTAATTAGAAAAATATTTTTTGAAAATAAGCGGTAAGTGTTAAAAACAAAAAAAAAAGAACCGATCTTTATATTTCAATCCTCTATCGAAAAAAAAAGTTTCGATTGATTCTGAGATTTGACCCAAATGGGTCGGTCACGTTTCACGTGGAATTACCCTATACCAATTAAATATTTGTAAGGTTTTTTTTGTCAGAAAGATACCAGTTCGAGACAAGATGCTGTTTCACTAGTTTAGTATTATTAATATTTTCAACTAGCACAAATTTTCTAGACCCTGTGTAGCTCAAATGCACCCAGAAAATTCTAGTTGCTTTATAACTAGTTTTATAACTAGTTTTTTTTCAGACTAGTACTTGAATATGGAATACTTTACTTGAGCTATTAGAGAATAGGATGTAAACTTTATGATTTTTCAACGGATTTATTTCGAGTTTGTACGATATATACAGCCGGCTTACAGTCGACCAAAAAACATATTTTGTATCTTTGTCGAGCTGCTGCGCTGCTATTACTTATCCAATCATATTGCTCTGTATGGCAAAATTAAGATCCGATCTATTGACTTTAAAATTAAACAAGAACTGACCCAATTGGGTAAATATGAGCCAAAATATAAGAAGAAATTCGAAAAAGGCAGAAATTTAACAATTTAAACTTAAAAACAAGAGAGAACGATATAGTCGGGTTTGTGTCTCGACTATCTAATACCCGTCACTCGGCTAAAGGGAGTGCGAGGGAGATGGATATATAAAATTCGATAGGTATAAATATACACAACAAAATTGCATTTATACTTCTCGGAAATCTTTAAAGGTGTGGGCGCAAGACACATTTTAAAATCGTTAGTGGGCGATTGTGGGCGTTAGAATGGGTGTGGCGCTCGGCTGAAATAAATTTGCGCTGCGTAGGAGTAGTTTCCGAGATCTCAGCGTTCATACAGGCAGACAGACAGACGGACATAGCGAGATCGACTCGGCTAGTGACCCTGATCAAGAATATATATACTTTATAGGGTCGGAAACGCTTCCTTCTCCCTGTTACATACTTTTGCACGAATAAAATACACCCTTTTACACTACGAGTAACGGGTATAAAAAACTGTGTCATCGAAAATAAAAACTAGTGGTATTTTCGTGATCTAGGGCTCCAGCACTAATAGAATTTGTAATCAATTGCTGTAAAGCACTCCAAGAATATTATTTTGTAATCTAGTGTTATGATACAATTGCAATACCACATGTGGTTTAAATACTTACAAAATGAAAAATAGTAACCAACATTACTTTGGTAATGGTACTATTTTCATTGCTGTACTCGTACCCGTGTTCTCCGCTCAACTAACAGTTGAATGTGTCATCCCACTTGCTTAAAGCCAAAATACACCAAGAAGGATGATTGTAGTTCCTGGTAGAGTTGGACCAAAGATCACAAAAAGAAGTCAATACCTTTATAAATTTGCATACATTTTTGGTATGGTTGTGTTTTTTTTATATCTTGAGTTGCGCCTAACTAATTAAGGTGACATTTGTTTTAAGCTAAAACTATAGATTCTCCCAGGAAATATCATCATCCGTATTTAAAAAAAATTCTAAGCTATGTTATTTAACGCTAGGGCCAACATGTACCAACACTATTCACAATAAGATGATAACGAATTCTTACATACCTTTTTCCATACAAAAGGAACAAAAAATATCCAGTGAGTCCATAAAAATGACACAGTCAAAATGCATAAGTATATAAACAAATCCGGACCGATCGATTTCCAATAGTTCACAATTTTACTCATTAAAAATAAACAGAGGGTAGAAACAATATACATCTAGGTCTGTAAAAGGAAATAAATATTAAATAAGATTTAAAATTCTCGAAAAGAAAATAAACAAGAGAGAACGCTACTCAGCTAAAGGCAGTGCGAGGGAGATGGAGATAAAAATCTTTGATTAGGCATAACTTTTTAACAAATAGTCCTTTTGAGAGGAACACAAAAAAAAACTGAATTTTTACTTTTCCGAAATCTTTAAAGGTGTAGGCGCCAGACAATTTTTAACTATGTTTAAGGCGATTGTGGGCGTTGGAGAGGCTTGTCCCCCTAGTAGTTCCCGAGATCTCAGCGTTCATACAGACGGACATGGCTATATATATTAGGGTGGGTCGATTTGGAGGTCAACAAATCGTAGGGGGGGAACGTATTCTATAGACTATTCTAAGCAACATTGCCAAAGAAACTATGCCTTGGAAACCACGTTTAACCCTCCGCATTTGAAAGAGAACAATACTGGATTTTTGATGAAAAATATCTCAGTAGCCTTGACTTTCGAACATTTATATGGACGCGAAAAAAGATATAAATCGTTTGGGCGGAACATAATCAATGGACCATTCTAAGACATATTGGCCAAGAAACTATATGCCTAAAACCACGTTTGACCCTCCGCATTTGCAAAAGAAAAATACTGGTATTTCACTTTATTTTTGAGAAAAATATCATAGTAGCCGTTACTAATATACAAAATAACAGTATTAAAAAAATGCTTTAAAGAGAACAAAACATTTTTAACAAAGGGGAGAATTTAAAATTGACAAATATTTCACGGCTACTATGATATTTTACTCAAAAGTAAAACGAAATACCAGTATTTTTCTCTTGCAAACGCGGAGGGCCAAACGTGGTTTATGGCATATAGTTTCTTGGGCAATATGGCTTAGAAATGCCCGGAGATTGTTTTCCGCCCAAACGATTCTTTACGTTTTTCAGGTCCATTCTATTGTAGAAATTTTAGGGCTACTGTGATATTTTTCATCAAATACTGGGTTTTTTTCTTTTGCAAATGCGGAGGGTCAAACGTGGTTTTCAAGATATAGTTTCTTTTGCAATATACGATTTATCACTTTTTTTTGCCCATACAAATCGACCCAGTCTAATATACAGTTGCGAAAAAAATAATAGCACCACTTCGTCACAGGTTCTTAATATTAAAGAAATATGTGGAAAACGGGGATTTTTATATAAGAAGTGTTTTTTATTATCTTGATTAGTATTCCACCTATTTGAAAAAATTGATACGGATATCGAAAATGTTGTCTACACATAATTTTTTCAGATTTTAAGAAAAAAAGTCAAAAAAAGGCCGAAAAAAATAATAGCACCACTTCCGTTTTCTTTAAATAAAACGTTACGATGCGCTAATATTCTTGTGTATAAAGGATATATTTTATGAGATTTGACTAAAACTAACTTCTCCTGATATCCAGACATCAAATTGATTACCATTTGGCAATACAAGGACATGTGGAAAATTTTCCAAGTCGGAAAAGAAAAATATTCAAAAAAGAAACATATTGGATGGAAAACGGTCATGAAACCGGTTGGATTGGTTAGATTTTGGATCATCTTCATTAAGAATGGCATTAACTTTGAAGGATAACACAGAAAAACCGAGTCCTGGCCCATTTTTCCTTAAAAAATGTCATATCACAAAGCACAAAGAATCTTATCAGGGCCAAAACTAAACTAAAACACGTGCTTAAAATAATAGCAAATATTTTAATGGTTGGATAATGTTTCAATAAACAAATTTATAAAACATGCACTTAAAAAAAAAAAATCCTATCCGAAATGCGAAACACATTTACAAGGGCATAGGGCTCGTCAAAAAAACTTACAAACTTACAAACCGCAAACTTATGAGAATGTGTGAAGGCAAAGTTAAATTGGGTAAGAAGAAATCCTTTTTATAAGTCATGTGTCTTCTAAACACCTAAATTGACCAAGAACATGGTACCAAAACATCCATTTATTGAGCATGGACTCGGGTTGGTGTCCCGACTAATAATCGTAACTCAGCTAAGGGGAGTGCGAGGGAGATAGATATATAAATTTTGATTGCGTATAACTTTTTAATGAATGGTCCGATTTGAAAAATGTCTTCTACATTTTGATAGGTATAAATATACCTATAAATATATATATATATAAATATAAATATATAAATATCTTTAAAGATGTGGGCGCAGGACCCATTTTAAAATCGTAAGTGGGCGATTGTGGGCGTTAGAGGGGGCGTGGCGCTCGGCTAAAATAAACTGGCACTGCGTAGGAAGCCAAAGAATATGGGTGGAAAATCTCAACCTTCTAGCTTTTGTAGTTTGTGAGATCTCAGTGTTCATACAGACGGACAGACGGACATGGCTAGATCGACTCGGCTAGTGATCCTGATCAAGAGTATATATACTTTAAAGGGTTGGAATTGCTTTCTTTTAGCAGTTTCATACTTTTGCACGAATACAATATACTCTTTTACTCTACGAGTAACGGGTATAAAAATGGGCAGTGCAGCTTATACACACATATATTTACATATATTATTATTTTTCTTAATTCTTAAAAACAATCATACAACTGAAACTTGTTTATTTGTACATTACCTTGTTTACTCTGCGCGGAAATAAGAAATAGATATTAAATTAAAGTGTTACTAAAATTAGAAAAAAATAAATTCCATTCGAACTGTAAAATAAATTTCCAGACTACTTATGAATTGAATGAACCTAAGCTAATACTTCAAACGATAGAAACCATACAATTAGGTATGTTTGGAAAGGATTTTATACCTATAGAAATATATAAAACACCTTTGTCTGATGCCCTTGTAAGCGTGTATGGAAAATTACAATATCACATGAAAAGAAAACTAAAGTTTTGCATATTTGTCCATTAGGGTGGACCCCTGGTTTTCAGTTTGGAAAAAAATGTGATTATATTTAAATCTTTAGAATTATTATGTTATATCGTCTTTGTTTTGTTATTAACAATACTTAAAATACTTACTCCCAAAACCATCACTAAACGGGTATTCCACGACATTGTTTGGCTCATTAATTAGAGCAATTTTTTCTCAGCCTATACGATTTTACGTAGGTGCGAGCAAGTGATACATATGTCAGTTCCAATGCGCAATTAATGAGCAAAATTGTAAAAATTGTATTTAAAAATTGAAATTAAATCTAAAAAGAAAAAATTTGCTCGTTCATTAGAGTTACTGCAAAATGGGAATGGCTGGTCCCATTTTGTAAAATTAATTAAAATGAATTTGATCCTTTTTAGTTGAATTTTCACGCTTTTTGCGACTAATTAGGTGCTATAAACACATAAGAACAATAAAATAATTTAGTGGCCTAATTAATCCGTCGCGAACTAAAACTAGCGCTGCTATTTCTAATTTAAAATATTAAGGGGGGTAGGGTCTTGCAAAAATGAAATATCGATTTTTTTTAAAATTTGTATACCTGTTACTCGTAGAGAAAAAGGGTATATTTTATTCGTGCAAAAGTGTGTAACAGCTAGAGGGAAGCGTTTCCGATCCCATAAAGTATATATATTCTTGATCAGGGTCACTAGCCGAGTCGATCTAGCCATGTCTGTCTGTCCGTCCTCGGAAACTACAAAAGCTAGAAGGTTGAGATTTTCCACACGTATTCTTTGGCCTCCTACGCAGCGCAAGTTTATTTCAGCCGAGCGCCTGCTAACGATTTTAAAATGTCTCTTGCGCCCACATCTTTAATGATTTCCGAGAAGTATAAATGCAATTTTGTTGTGTATATTTATACCTATCAAAATGTTGAAAACATTTTTCAAATCGGACCATTCATTAAAAAGTTATACGCAATCAAAATTGTTTATATATCGGGACACCAACACGAGTACAGCGTTCGCCCTCCCTTTAGCTGAGTGACGGGTATTAGATAGTCGGGACACCAACCCGACTATAGCGTCCTCTCTTGTTTATCTTGTATATTAACATCTTAAGATTATACAAAAAAAGTTTTAAGTCAATCGGACAAAAACTTTAGAAGGTATGCTAAATTTAGTACCCTAACCTCTAAGACTTTAGGTACGTAAGTGCATCTTTAAGCGCTTTTTTCTCGAAACCACATTTTGAAAGTCCGTGGTCATCGGCATTTCTAAACTGCATAAAAAAACCCGCCCCTGAGAAGCGCTTTTTTTTAATTTTTTAACTTTAAGTGTTTTTTTTAACCCCAAAGTCAAATTTTTTAGGTGAAAAACGCATTTTTGACTTGGAAAGGCAAAATAAATTCTTAAAAACAAAAAAAATTAAAAGTCGCGCTTCCCAGAGGCGGGTTTTTTCTTTTCCTAAGCAAAATGTAAAAGTAGAATGGAAATCCGATAATTTTTGGAGGAGATACAGTGGTCACCGCAAAACGCCTTTTTTAATAGTGTTCCAGCAATCGCTTTGCCAACGATATATTAGCCGATAATATCGGCTATAAAAATTAGTGGATGTTATTTAAATGACACTTTATAATATACAATTGGTTTGAATTAAATCCATCCAACCAGTTTTTATAGAAAGAATCGAAGTTACTAGATTTTTTTATGCTCTTAATGCGTCTTAATTACTGCCGGATATGATAAAATTAAAAACAATTACATATGTACGTTGTATAGCCCAACATATTTTAAAAACAATTACATATGTACTTTGTATAGCCCAACATATTTTAAAAACTTATATTACAAATGTCTGTTTTCGTAGCAGATGACACTATTCGTTTTTAAAGCTTTAAACTTATTGATTTAACCCCTTAAAGGTTTTTAAATTATAAAGGTAAAATTTAACGTTTAAATTCTAAGATGGCATGGTCATCTTATCCAAACAAATCCCGGAAAATGTATATGGGCAATTCTTTGGGGATGTCAACTTGGAACTTGATAAATGTAAAAAGACTTGTATTATATATTTAATGATATGGTTATGAGACTTTTTATTGGACGATGCGTATCGGTTGGCGGCTAAAGTTCAACTGGAGTTCGCCTGTCATCTTACATACTAATACATATACGTAGGGAGTTGTCTAGTTGTTAAGGACCGTTCACACTTATAACACGCTTCTTTTTTTTTTAATTAAACCATCTTAAACACTAATCCCAGCCGTATCTTATTGCTGGGCGTCTTACACGACCACTGCGTGTAGTAGTTACTGGTTGTATCAACAGGTGCTATCGGTGGCGCCGCATTTTCAATCTCGTTTTAAGATCGTGAAACATCACTTTCAGCAGTAGCATATGTATCAGATCTGATTCAGAAGAGATCAGTGATTCATCGTTATTAACCACTGAGAATTCTGTCACATTCACTTCACAATCATTAGAATTATTGCTCATGCTTTGATTAGTGGATGGTACAATTGCAATTTCTTTAAGATTGCTTTGAGCCAAATTTCTATCAGAAACTGTTTTTTCTTCAAATAACTAATCACTGGTATTAAAGCCCGTATTTATTAACTTTGCAATAAATCTCCGATTACGTCTATAATGATTACACACGGCGACAGCGTTTTTGGTGCAGCCCTATATGCATTAAATTGTGTTAATATAGACGGATATAAGCATATCGGCATACTTAGTTTTCGCGTTTAACGGGTGGTATTTGTGCAATCGCGGTTTGAAAAAAGTAGCAACATTTAATTGTTTGATTTAAGATATCTGCGAGGGTCTGCGCTCAGCCAAAAAATTGCTTAGATGCCCTTCTACATAATTGCATTTAAGGTTCCATCATAATTTGAGTCAATCAAAGCCTATGCGCCATTGAAGTAAAAAATAAAATAATTATTTTTTGAAATAGCTACGCTCTTTTCAGCCAACCCATTGCTTTGTGGATAGCGTGGACTTAAATACTTAAATTGTATGTTGAACTATGATGAAAATCGATCAAATTCAGCGGAATTAAAAGGTACGTTAGCACTCTTAATTATTGTTGGATATCCGACAAGATTGAACAAATCTTTTAAACCCGTTATTATATGCCGTGACGTTTTGTTATTCAACCAAAGGACGATAAGTAGTTAGAATGAAAATCACAAATTGCAATTAAATCGTGTCCGTCATATTCAAATAAATCCATTGCCACCATTTGATACAGATACTTCGGGTCCTTTTCTTGATGCAACGGTTTTCTCTGATTGTTGCGTCCAAATTTTTTACATACTGAACACGTCTGTACTATTTCGCGTTCTTGTGATTTCTTTCCCGGCCAATAATACAACATTCGAGCTCTTGCGAGAGTCTTTTCAATACCGAGATGTGATTCATGCAGCCACTTTGCGATGTTGTTTTGTAATTTGGTTGGGATCACTAGTCTGTGGTTGTAGAATAAAAGTTCGTGTTCTACGTGTTACTCCGATTTTATTTTATAAAAGTGCTGACTGAATTCATCAAAGTAATGATAATCCATATGCCAAAATGCACTACTAAGATCAAATGCTTTTATGTTTTTTGACTATGTTTTCTAAAACTTGTTTCTCCCTTAATAAAAATCCTAAAATTATTCTAAGTATGGGGTTTGAAAGATAAAGAGTGTATCTTTTAAAAAACTTTAACATCGAATCAAACAATGCATCCGTTTCTCTCTGAGAGCTCTGGAAAGTTGTCCAATTGCAGCATTTTTCGAACTTTGATGTCCTTTTTTTTTGGAAAACGCTGTTTAACTTGGGAATTCGAAACGAATCCAAAAATATAGCATCCATCGAGGTAAATTTAAAAAGCACTAAAAATGCTGCACAGTGCTATTTACCCAATCAGTCGGATATTCAACAGTGAGATGATTTCATTCAGTGTCATTTCATCAAGTTTGACCCGAAGTTTGTCAACCAATGCTGACGGAATACGTTTTTTGTAATGAAGTATCGATTTCGAATTTTCTTTTAAATGTATTGTAAAATTTCCCGGAAATTTACCTATTCCGTGAAATATATCGCAATTTTGTTTAATTAATTTATTTTTATCACCCGGTAAGCAATCAATTGAATTGACATCCATCCGTTTAATTAATCCAAATGAAATACTAGTTTCTAATCCAAGTGTTGGTTCGAAATCATTCCTAACTACAATAAACTCAGCTATTTTGTGTTTAATTCCAAACAATTTAGCTTTACGGTTCCAAAGATTTTTAATTTTATTATTGCTATAATCAAATACGTTAAATTTCTGTTGATTCGACATTTGATTAAGTTATTAACGATATTAATTGAAATACAGATAACATCTGCTCCAGTATCAATTTTGAATGTAACTTTTTGATTTTCTATTTGATATTCTTTTTACAAAAACCGACTGTTTCTAACAATATGTCGCAAGTATTAAAATAAAAAAAATTATTTATTTTGTGGGGACAATGTCTAAAAAATTTTTTTAATTCTTAATTTGTTTTTATTTTTAAAGAAATTAAAAACTTTTTTTCAGATATTCTAACTAAAAAAATAATTTTTTTCGGTCAAATCCTGATACACGTGGATACGTATTTTCCGAATAGTACGTGTGAAAAAGTTTCAGGCAAATAAAAAATGTGACCCAATAAAAGGTGTTAGGTTTGTAAAAGAACCGCCTATATGTCGATTACATTTTGTAATGTCATAGGAGCTCTGATTACAACTTCACTGTCGAAAAACAGCGAACGTAATCGATTACATTTTCTACACTTGTAATGCATTTTTTCTCCATGTTCGATGCTGGGGAAGGTGATTCGGCCCTAGCATACTTATCCCATTACTAGTAATGCAAATTGTGTCCCGACCACATTACAAGGCGGCCATGCCTATGGAAAAAGTAATCCATGTTGTAATCCAAACCTAAAAAAGCAGAGACAATGGCCGAGCGGTTAGCCTTTCCATCCATTATACAATAATACCCATGTTCAATTCCTACATGAGGAAAGAATGTTTTTTGTTTTCCTAAATGAACAGCATTACAACTCAGCATACGTTTTTCAAAATGTAATAGAGACCCGAAGGTGATTCGGCCCTAGCATACTTTTCCTATTACTAGTAATGCAAATTGTGTCCCGACAAAATTACAAGGCGGCCATGCCTATGGCAAAGTAATCCATGTTGTAATTCATTGTTTCCCTATTACTGGAGGAGAAGTAATGCATTCGTAATCCATTTTGTAATAGCAATTCTCGCCGCTGGAAAAGGGTCTCGGGTGAGCACAGACCCGACCGAGCAAACCAAATCGGTCATCGGTTGAGCAGGAAGCAACCCAGTGGCAAACGAAATTTTAAGGTCTCTCTCTGACAGCTTCGTATGGGGTCAGTATGTGAGGGGTTTTTTTTCTGACAACAAGCACTATGAGACCTTTTTTTACGAGCTCTGCTTGCGTGCGAAGTTCGGTTTCACATTCACCAAATTATTGCTTTTCTTTTTGTGTGTAATCATATTGAATTTGTATGATTCCATAGCGACATTGTTTTGTGGCAAACAATGGGTAGGTAGGTAGAAGAGCTGAGCTCCGTTTTGAACCACACCCTCGTAAATTGTTGTCTCCGCGTTCTCTTCAGTACCAGCCTGCGTCATTTAGAAAACCTAAGATTGCAGTTATTCTCTGCTTTCCTATTTCTCCCAATGATTCCAGCTGATACGCCCTGAAGTATCTCACCCTGATATGGTTTAGTGCTGGGCAATGACACATCATGTGCTCAGGTGTCTCCTGTGTCTCTGTTTCTTTACAGCTTCTGCAATTAGCGTTGTACGGAAGCCACATCTTCATGGCTTGCGTGCCAATGGCCCAATGGCCTGTGATGAGTGCCGTGATCCTTCTAATATCCCTTTTGCTTTTGGTTATTAGCTCTCGAGTTCTCTTGCTATTGATGGTTGGCCAGCAGAGCTTTGATCTCCTGAGACCCTGCTTTTCCGACCAACTTTTACTAGCTTGTGTTTTGTAGTGTTCTTGAATCCTTGCTTGGACTGTATTTAGGGATTCAGGTAGACTGCCGACCCCATTCGTGCAAGTTCATCCGCCTTTTCTTTTTTTGGTATATCGTTGTGCCGTGCACCTATGTTAGCTAAAAAAGCCTGAAAAACTGTCGCTGATTCTGGGAGGTGGAATTTCGATTCTATCCCCCAGCTTTCAGCGAAAATTCCAGCCCCTACACCACAGGCCATCTTGGAGCCGTCAGTGAAGAGAGATACCTCATCTTGTCCGGTTACTCTATTATTCTCCCAGTCTTCTCTCGTTGGAAAGGTAGTCGTAAATCCGTTTCCAAATCTTATCTCAGCTGTCATATAGTCCGTTTTGTTCTTTGCCAGATAGTTACTGTCCTTTAGGATACGGCAGTGCCCTGTGTGGTAGCCTTTCCAGCATTAACTTGCCTTCAGTCTGGCCGCACTCTGCGCTCCCGTATCCTTTATGAAATGTTCTCTAGGCATTATATCCAGAATAGTGTTCAACGCGGCAGCCGGGCATGATCTTAATGCCCCTGTAGCTCCTGTGCAAGCTGATCTCTGTATTCTTGTCAGCTTGGTAATATTGTATGCTCTTGTCAGGGCTGGCCACCAGACTAGCGCCCCGTATGTGAGAATTGGCTTTACCACTGCTGTGTAAAGCCATAATATTATCTTAGGGTGTGTTGCGGCTAGAATGAGCCTTTTCAATAGCACTGTTGGCCAATACGGCGCTCGAAAATCCAATAACTAAACCATCAAATACAAACAAATTGACCGAATTAACAATATAAGTATTCGTTGTTTATTGGCGAATGTATCAATTCAATGATTGCAAAGACAACAGGCCAAATGCTTGCCGTTTGCATGCAAAACGAAAAGGCGAGAGGTAGAAAACAAACTGAATTACGATCGGACGCAGCCGATGACTCGCTGCAGCAGCCGAAAGCAACAACAAGGGACAGCTGTTATACGGCACTCTTCTTCTCAGCTGTGTTGCGCGGTCTAGGAAAGCGCATAGCTGGACATACCCCCCCGTTGGAGGGCACGGTTCTCCAACATCCATCTTAGGCAGCAGACAAAGCTTGGCAACAGCCCTAGTTGTGGTGTTCAGGGCGGTCTTAAGCTCAGCAACTCTTGCAACACCATCAGCTCCGACGATTAGCTTGGGCAGCCTTGCTAATGGCCAACTAAGAGGCGGTTAGTTCTCATTCTTGATAAGGACTGTATCACCGACAGCAAGTCCAGATTGGTTCGATCTCCATTTAGACCTCTCTTGTAAGAGGGTGAGGTACTCCTCCTTCCAGCGGGACCAAAAGTCTGTTGAAGATAGGAAACTCTTTGCCAACGATCAAGGCGATTGAAGTTTAATCTAGTGACGTCTGCCAGAGATTTGGGTGGAGTTGTGCCCAAATAATGAGCAGAAGTCAGTACATCCAAGTCGTCTGGATGCTCTGTAATGGAAATTAAGGGTCGTGAGTTTACGATTGAAGTAATATGGCAAACTAGGGTACGTAAGTCATCAAAAGCGAGGATCGAGCTAGAAGCTGAGCGATAGAAGTGGTACTTAGCAGTTTTTACCGCGGCCTCCCACAGCCCACCAAAGTGCGGAGAGCGAGGAGGTATAAAACGCCAATCGATTTGATCCGCTACACAGAAGTCTTGTACTGCCTTCTGATGCGTATCGCTCATGAACAACTCCTTTAAACGCTTAAGCTCGTTACTGGCTCCCACGAAATTAGTCGCATTGTCAGACCATATTTCTCTGGGCCGGCATCTAGTAGAAATAAACCGCTGAAGGGCGCTAATAAAAGCAGGAGAAGACAAATCCTGCACCAGTTCCAGGTGTATGGCCTTCGTTGCGAAGCAGATGAACACGCAGATGTAGCATTTTATTGGCGGCCGAGTACGCACTTCGCTTTTGTAATAAAAGGGACCACAGAAATCTTCTCCGGTGATCATAAAAGTGTACGATCCGTCATCCAATCTTTCCTTGGGGAGGTCTGCCATGATGTGCTGGAGTAAACGCGGCTTGGCCCTAAAACACCTGATGCATTTGTTCACTACGCTTGCCACTAATTTGCGCCCGCCGACCGGCCAGTACTGATGACGAATTATAGCAAGCAGCGCACGAGGTCCAGCGTGGAGATTCCTTTCATGGAAATATAAGATCATAGCGACTGTGACAGGATGGCTCCTTGGAAGTATAATAGGATGACGAGCATTAAAGTCCAGAGTTGAGTTCTTAAGTCTTCCGCCGACGCGCAGAATCCCAAATTCATCAACGAATGGATTGAGCGACGATGTTGAGCTGGACAGCGCAACCTGGCCCTTTTCGGATATGCATATCAAATCGCTCCACAGGTGCACTTGTTGGATCGACCGAACAAGCATTCGAGTGCCTCCAACTAAATCGGCCAATGTCAACCCGCTTGATTTGGTCCTCTGATGAAACTTAAACATGTATCCAAAAGAACGCTGTAATTTGTGGAAGGAGTTTGCGAATTTGTGTCCTTCCGTTAGATCCGCAAATGGACATGTTGCGAGGAAGACTCGTTTACGAAGCTCTGGTAATGGTTCCTTTGAAATTACAGATACTGGCCATGAAGCTTGATCCTTGGATAGGAAGGCTGGCCCTTCAAACCATAGTTTTGAGCCTATGAGCTCCGAAGGAAGAGCTCCCCTTGACAATGTGTCTGCCGGATTCAATTTAGTGGGTATGTAGCGCCAATCTGCGTAAGTCAACGTCAGCTTCTGAATGCTGGCGACTCTGTTTGATACAAAGACAGTAAACCGGGCGGGCTCGCTGCGAATCCACGACAAAACAGTGGTTGAGTCGGACCAACAATAGAATCTTCCGGCGAATATTTTCATGCCTGCTACTTCATTAATAAGCTGAGCGAGCAACTCTGCTCCGCACAGCTCCAGCTTGGGAACTGTCATACCCTTAAGAGGTGCCACGCGAGATCTTGAGCACAGCAGCTGCGATTGAGTTATTCCCTTTCCTCTTGATACAATGTAGATGCAAGCACCATATGCGAGTATACTGGCGTCGCAGAATCCATGGACTTCAACTTGAGTATCTGGAAGTACAACTAGCCGCGGAAAGGTGAAACGTGGAGAGTTAGACAAACTATCATAGAAGGCGATCCAAGCAGATGCCAACGAGGCCGGCAAGCTTTCATCCCAATGAAGTTGCTCCTTCCATAAGAGCTGTAGAAATATTTTGGCCTTCGTTATGATGGGTCCAACCAATCCTAGGGGGTCATAAAAGCGAGCGACGATGGACAGAATAGAGCGTTTCGTTGGCCTAGGTGACGTCGATCCGGGCGAGACAGAGAAGAGAAATCGATCTGAAGCGGGATCCCAAAGCAAGCCAAGGGTCTTTGTGAAGTCTGTTCCATCGTGAAACCTTAGTAGCTTCTCCTTATCCTGGCTAGAAATTCCATTTAAAAGCTCTGATGCGTTAGAGCACCACTTTCTGATTTGGAAGTGACCTTCCTTCAATAATTCCGTTGTCTGCTTCATGATCTCAGCCACCTCTTCTATAGATTCGCCTCCTGTCATTAAATCATCAACGTAAAAATCACAATTTAGAATGACAGAGCCGATCGGATATGCATCTTGCTCATCATGAGCCAACTGTTGCATGCAACGAGTTGCAAGAAAGGCCGCTGATCGGGTTCCGTATGTAACTGTATCGAGTCTATAGGTTTGTATTTTCTCCCGTGAAGAGTCTCTCCATAGGATCACTGCAGGAAGCTATCAGGCTCTGGAACGCGAACACATCTGTACATCTTACAAATGTCCCCGGTTAATGCTACTCGAAAGGTTCGAAAACGCAGCAGAGTATGGAACAATTTAGCTTGAAGAGTGGGACCGGTCATGAGAACGTCGTTCAACGAAAATCCGGTGGACGTGGCAGCAGAGCCGTCGAATACAACCCTAAGCTTCGTGGTCGAACTGTCCTCCTTAAGGACGCAATGATGCGGCAAATAGTATTGGCACCGACTCTGTACTTCGGGACCCACCAACGACATGTGAGCCAAATCTCGATATTCCTTGATGAACGCTGCGTACCTTTCCTTTAGTTGAGGATGCCGGTCCAGTTTTCTTTCCAAGTTAAGAAATCGTCGAAAAGCCTGTGTATAAGAATCGCCTAAGACATCCAAGTTTCGCTTTAACGGCAACCTAACAGAAAACTCCCCAGTTGGGAGGCGAGAAAAATTTGACTTAAAGTGATTCTCACTATCTATATATTCTTGTTTGACCTTTTCGAAGTTTTTTTTTCGAAGTTTGAGCCACAAGATGCAATATCACAAAAACGCCTTAGCAGCAAATCGATTCTTTCATCAGCCTCTTGTTCATATTGCGGCGTGGATTGAGCTGCAACTAATGCCGTCCTCTGAGATTGTCTGCTACCTCCTGAAGCCACCCAACCGAAACGCGTTTTCTGAAGTAGTGGTAGCTCCGACGACAACCTGATTTGGCCGACTGAGAGAAGATCAAAGAACAAATTGGCTCCTTGTGAGGGCTCAATTATGGTTGGGTGTCCCAGCTAATTCTCCTGGAACAAATTCCTCAACATTTGCCACGAGTTGGAAGTACCGCTGTCTGTCAAAGTGACAGTGCACTGGAAAGTTTCCATTGCTTTTCCAACCCTCGCTCCTCACATTCCCCTCCTTCTTCGGGGGACGCGACGAGATGGCGATCTCATCTCTCTTATTGATGTGGACTCGGAATTCCTCCCCTCCGGCATGGAAGAGGAACTTCCGATCCACACGGCATCGGGTTCCCTCCTGTGGGCGAACGTGCTCGACAAGGGAGCGGGGAATTCGTCCTCCGCTCACGCGAATACGCCAGTGTCGCGGCGGCAACACCCAATCCTCGTCGGGCGGTGGATATTGGGTACGTCCCTTAGCGTCGCTGTCGTCCTCGGCTGGCGGCTTCGCTGGTTTCGGTGCTATAGGGGCGACTGCTACCATTTCCCGCTCGCGAAGATGGTCTTCCCTCTCCATTTCCTCGGCCCAGCTCGCGAACATGAGCGGAAGGTCGGCCTCGGGATGGGCAATCGGCGGAGGTGTGGCGACCTGGGCTAGTTTCATCACCGCATCCTCTCCGGGGGTGCCGATTGGAACGAAGGCGGGCATCTCGCCATCCGGTGGCAGTTCCAGGGTGGCACGCAGGTCCTCCTCGTTGGAGGGCTCGATCGTCTCCAAGGGGGGTGTCGGCGATGTAGTAGCCGAGACGCTGCCCTTCCCATCCGCGTATGCGAGTATGACCCCGTTAGGGTCCATCCTCTCCAGGACTGCGCTGGGTCCGTTGTCCTGCACGCGCCATAAATGGCCCGCGAAATCGTCCATGACGGGAGCCTCGTCAGACTCCATGGCGTGGTCCGGGCTGGATGCGTCTTGGCCACGTTGGGGGGCTTCTTCCAGTGTGGCGGCGGGGTCACTTGGCTCGGCGTACTGGCCAGAGCACGGCTCGATGGCCTCCTCCACGCACCTCACCAGGTGCCTCCAGTCGGGGAAGTCGCCCGCTGCCATGTCTGTTGGGAAGATAACCTTTTATTAGTTTTAGTTTGTGAAAAAGGGGGCTACCGTTTTAGTTTTGGTTAGTTTTGTAGTTAGAGGGGCTAAGCTACGGTGGGCACTGGGAGCATTGAGTTTCCCCTGAGGGGAGTGGGGACGTTGGGAAGGCGCACCCTCCAGCAAGTGGCCCCCACTGACTCAAACTTGGCTCCTTTCGCAGTGGTCCTTGTGAATTGGCTCTTGCCTCGGCCAGGGTTCTTTTGAGCGTCACTCGACCGCTGGCTTGATATATATATTTTCTCTACGACGAGGCCGCGGTGCGGGCTTTCTGCATTGGAGTTTAGGGTCACCCGACCCTAATCCTGCTCTGTCGTCTTCGCTGCGTCTGGTCTGTCCTGTTCGACCGGTACCGGACTCTGGATCTCCGGATCGTCGACTGCTTCCTTTAGGTCTCCGAGCGATGCCCTCCTGCGTTGTTTAGTTCGTGTGTGCTTTAAACGTACGATCGTGGCCGAAATGAATTGGACCACCTTGTACGGCCCCTCATACTTGGGCGCTAACTTTGCAGCAAAGTTATCCGCCGCTCTGGACAAGTGATGCTGCTTTACAAAGACCAGTGATCCCAAAGTAGGTCTCCACGCGCACCGTCTGAGGTCATAGTGCTTTCGCTGCTCCATCGAAGCTCGCTGGGTGTTTGTTTGGACCACCTTAAACACGTCGCGAAGCAACTCCGCTTTCGCGACGGGTGATCTTGGAACATGGCTTGGTCCCGGCGTGACTTCGTCGTACAAGGCCCCTGGGAGTCTTGGCTCTCTGCCTTGTATAATAAACGCCGGGCTTAATCCGGTGGAGTCAGAAACGCTGCTGTGGAAGGGGTCCAATGAAGTCGGCGCAGATAGTGTCAAAGGGCTCACTGATCTGCCTGGTGAACATCTTACCCGCTGGTTTGTTTTGGCTTATCTTGAACTGTTGACAAGTGTCGCACTTGCGAACATACCGGGCTACATCACGAAAGAGTCCCGGCGATCTGGGCGATCCGGGTTGTTGTCTTTCTGATTCCGAGATGTCCAGCCGTGGGCTGGTCATGGCATTCTGACAGCACTCAATGACGATGATCCTTGGCCACACACAATTTCCAAGGTACGCAGTCTTCATCGTCAGATCGGGATCCGTTGTGCCGATATAACTGTTGGTTCTCACACGCGTAGTCCGGGAAATCTTCAGGCTTGTCCTGAACGAGTTTCAGCATTCGCTGATACCATGTGCACTCAGGCTTATCCTCGTGGATCATTTGCAGTACATCCAAGGACAGTCGTGACAGCGCATCTGCGACAATGTTCTGGCTCCCGCGCCGATAGGTGACGTCAAACTGATACTGCTGTAGTTCTAACTCCCAGCGTGCGTTAAAATCCGGATAGGCGAGTACAGGTGCCTCCGTAAGCTTCCGCTTCAATTCTTCGAACGTGTCTTGTTGATCCTGTTGCCATTGCCATTTCTTAACATTTTTCAACAACAGAGACATGGGTTGTACGATGCTGGCAAAGTTGGGTACAAACCTCCTGTACCATGACGCGATACCCAGACACCTACGTAGTTCCTTGCATGTGGTGGGCGGACTCAGTTGCCGTACTGCCGAAATCTTGTCGGGATCAGTGTGCATCCCTTCCTCACTGAAGACGTGCCCCAGATATACCAGGCTGCGCTTAAAGAAACTACATTTCTTTGCGTTGAGGCGAAGGTTCGCTTTCCGTAGCGGTCGGAATACCTCTTGAATATGCTGCACATGCTCTTCTAAAGTGCGCCCGATGATGATTATATCATCCAGGTACGCAAACGCGTTGGACTCCATGTCTGGTCCAATTACGCTGTCGAGCGCCCGCTGGAATGTGGCCGGTGCTGAATGGAGGCCAAACGGCATGTCCCCTTCCTGGCACTGTAAATGCAGTGCACTCGCGACTTGTCATGGCCATGGGGATTTGCCAGTATCCGCTCTTCAGGTCAAGAGTTGAGATGTACTTGGCGTGGCGCAACCGCTCCAGAATGTGAGTTATCCTGGGCAGCGGGTACGCATCGGGGATTGAAGGGCATTCAGTTGCCGAAAATCAACACAGAGCCGCATCTCTCCCGATTTCTTGCCCACGAGTACAATAGGGGCACTATGGGGGCTCCGAGAATGTTCTATGCAATCGTTGCGTAACAAATCGTCGATCTGGTCGTCAATAATCCTCTGCATTGCGGGATTCTTGGGAAAATACCGTTGTTTAATGGGTTTATCATCCCGCATTGTGATCGAGTGTTCGGCGATGTGTGACACTCCGGTCAGTCCGTCGAATTTGGCCAATTCCTCCTGTAGGAATTTGTGTACCCAGGGTTCAAGATCCTCCGGCGCTAGGGTCCCTTTGATTACTGCTAATGCTCCTCCAGTGTCAGATGCATACGCTGGTCTGGCTGCGGAAAGCAATCGCGCATCCTCGGCAGGCTCTGCCGATACAGAACTCGGATTCCGTCGAAATGGATTGTTTCGCACGGCTGTGTCCTCTCTGGGCCCTAGGATACTGTTGGTTGAGGCAGCTTGCATCCTGCGCTCTGGTTCGTTGCTTTGTAGTTCTGGGACGGTGGCATCGAAGTTGTCGATTTCTTCTGAAGAAGACTCATTTATGAGAAGAGGGGACAGAACTGAGTCGCTCTTGGTGCTGGCTACGAGAAGAGGGTTAAGTTGTAGCGAAACGCGACCATATTGGAGGGTGGCGGACACGCCGCAGAGAAAGTCCATGCCCAACAGCACATCTTCCATGATTGAGGGTAAGACTAAGAGTGGAAATGTGACCCAACGTTGGTCCAACTGGACTTTCGCCACCAGTGACTTGGTTATTTCCTTGCGAGAGCCTTCGGCCAGGCTGACTTGGGTGCGTACCGTCCGTACGTTATGTGGTGTGCTCACGAGTTCAACGACTCTCTCGCTCACGAAACTTCTGCTGGCTCCGGTGTCTATGGTTGCATTAAATAGTCGACCCTCAATTTGTACTCGTGCGATGA